ATAAATAAATAAATAAATAAATAAATAAAATTAAAATAAAATAAATGCCAGGCGGGTATCAGGTCTGGCCTGGCACTAAGAGAGGGGTTTGCCCTGTTACACACACCTTATATTCACCCATTCCTAAAAACTATGGCTTCTGGGCCAAGGAGATAACTTGGTGGTCTAAACACCTGTCTGGCAAGAGCAAGGACCCGGGTTTGGTCCCTGATACCGCAGGATGTGCCAGAACCTAGGGTGTACCATGCTGACCACCAAAACTGGGTGTGGCAGTGCGTGCCTGTAATCCCTGCACTGGGAAGGCTGAGACAGGAGGATCACTGTGAGTCTGAGGTGTGTAGTGAGACCCCATACCAAATAAATAAATATTTAAAAACAAAGAAACAAACAACAACAAAAATCCCTGTGGCTTCTGGCCAGCACACAGAGCTTCTGAGCCAAATCTGCACTCTAAGGGAAGGGCCTCAGAGGGCTGACTGAGAGAGAACAGAGTTCTAGACCTCCAGGCAAGAAGCTGTGCTTTCATCCAGGATTAGAGGGAGAGTGTAAAACAGTCACTTTTTTTTTTTTTTTCCTTTTCTGAGATATGGTCTCACTAGGCTGGCCTTGGACTTCCCCTACCTCAACAGTTATTTTATTTTATTTTTTTGTTTTAGTAAGGGCCTACAGGGTCTCATTACGTAGGTCAGACTCATAGTGAGTGATCTGCCTGTGTTCAGCCTCCCAAGAGCTGGGATTACAGCTGCGCACCCCCACGTCCAGTCTCAATTGCCGTCTCAGCGCGCCCAGGGGTCGGAGCTGGCACGGCAGGTTATTTTAGTTTTTCTGTATTTGGTACAGGGTCTCACTACGAAGCTACCTCGCGGGCCCTTCAGCAGTCATTTTAAAGAAGTGTCAAAATCTTCAGGCACGGAGTGGCTTGAAAGCCCACGTGAAGCCCCCTTGGGGACAAAATGTCTCAAATATGACAAAACGGCACCTGTCCTGTGGGTCTAGGAGTCATCAGATGTGTAAATAACAAAGACATTTAACTATTTTAGCAACTAATTACAAAGCAATTAATATGTCCTGGGAAAGGCCTGGGGAGATAGCTCAGTAGAATAAGTGCTTTCCTGGCAAGCGCAAGGGCCTGAGTTCAATTCCTGGTTCCGCCCCCCCAAAATCAATCTGTCTGTCTGTCTGTCTGTCTGTCTGTCTGTCTGTCTGTCTGTCTGTCTGTCTGTCTGTCTGTCTGTCTGTCTGTCTCCTGGGAGAAGAGCTCGACCAAGCCCTCCAGGTGGCTGTAAGTCCGCGGTGCTACAGCCAGGTGGCGGTGAAGGTCCACTCATGGGTACCATCTGCCTGACTCTCCTCGGTCCAGAGAACTGAGGATCTGGTGCAGACACCAGAGAGGAAGGAGTGGGTACTAGGGCTGGTTCAGAGCATCCTGGTCGGAAAAACGGGGTTCGGAAGCCTAGAGGATCTGGGTGCACAAAGAAGGCGGTAAAGGACTCAGGCCTAGAGTGGGCGGAGCTTGTGTCCCAAGAGAGTGAAATTTAAATTTCCCTTTAAATTTCTGGGTGGGCTGGGCTGCACAGTGAGTTCAAGGCTAGTATAACTACTTAGGGAGACCCTGTCTAAAAGAAAGAAAATAAATAAATAATTTCTGGGTGGGGCTCTGCACTAGTAGTAGGTGGAGCTTGATGGGGTAGCTAGGTTTTTTCCTTGTGAGGGCCCTGCTTGCTGCCAAACTTTGGAGAAGAGAATTCCCTAGGTGGGCAGGCTATCGGGGCGGGGCATGCGGGCATCTTCTATAGGCTGGCCCAGGAGGTGGGGCTCGTGTAGGTGCCTTGTTAGCCGCGTGTGGGCGGGGTTCTTCCTCCTGGTGAGTTCAGCGAAGCAACGGGACTTGTAGCTAGGGGCGGAAACTGTAGAAGAGTTTGACGGGAATTTTACATGTTCTCCGGAGGGCGGAGTTTGTGTCTCCTGGACAGAGTTCATGATTCTGCAAGATACAAGATTCCTTGGGGAATCAAGGCCCTGTGAAGGGGCGGAGTTTGCAGTTGGGTTGAGCCGGGCACATAACTGCAAGTGAATGTGTAAACTCTGGGCGGAGCTCATACCTCTGGGAGACCGATATTAATCCTTGCCAGTCTGTGGGAGCCCAGGGGCGGTGCGCGGTTTATGGGTGGGGTGGGGAACTGGGCGGGGTTGAGAGGGCTGATGGCCGGCTATAGCTCTAGGAATCTGAGCTGGCCGGGGGTGAGGTTTGCGGCTTTAGTGGGCGGGGCCTCTGGAGCGCTCCCAAGGGGACTTTGGGCAGCAGTGGGTGGGCGTGGCTCGTAGGTCGCTGGGCAGAGCGCACCCGAGTCCTGGGCCGCCTTTGGGTGGGTGGGGAGGTGGTCCTGGGAGTAAGTGGGCGAGGCCTGAGACACAGCTCCCCGCTTGGGCGGAGCCGGGCCTCGGTGCCGGCTGGGGCTCTGCCCTGGGAGGCAGTCTGTTTAGGCCCGCACGCAGCTCCGCATCTGGTGCTCATTACCGGATGACAAAGAGTCGGCCCTGGGCCCCCTTCCCCACTCCCATCCCCCTACGAGTGCAGTGCATTTAACTCCTTCCTGCCCTCACAGCGCTCTGGATGCTCCGCCTGGGGTCCTAGGAGGGAGCTTCAGAGAGTCCCATCCATCTGATCTCATTCTCTATGCTGGGCCCGCACCTCCTTCCCAGGCTAATGCATGGGACACCCTGCGATCCCCACTTCCATCCAGCAAACCTCCCCCTCCGAGCTTCTCAGAGGTTAAAGCTCAGCAGGATCTGACGGGGGCGTCTGGTTTAAGTTAGGGGAACGTGAGTGGCGGCCGTGGGCGGTGCGTAGCTTTCCCTCCTCCCCTTCCGCGACCTCCCGGTCTGTCCCCAGCTTCGGCCCCTCCTCTCCTACTCCCCTGGGGTTCACCCTCTGGGCCAAAGGGTGTCCTTGGGCTCCAGGTAGGGAAGGGGAGTTGAACCATCTCTCCTCGCCTGCAGGGGTGGTGGCGGCGTCTCTGCCCTGTCCTAATTAGAGGTCTCGAGAGACTGAAACTAAAAAATTATAGAGGCGGTGGGAACCGGCGCCTCCGTCGTTCAGGTCTCGCCTCTTTCCCCTGAAGCAAGGAGCCCAGGATGGGGGAGTTTACCCCATACGCTGTAATCTTCCTGCTGTGATTTCTAAACGGGCCCCTTACCCCAGATCCCGGGGCTCCTCAGCTTTGAGCAGCCCTCGGCCTCGCTGGAGTGCGTTCTGCCTGACACCATCCCGCACCATCCTCACTCCGCACCAAGTGTCCTGTGACCCTGAAAGTCTTGCACCAGAGACTGCCCAGGGAGGTGGATCTGGTTCTGTTGACTTCATGTTTCCTCCACCTCCGCCTCCCGGGCTGATTTCTGCCTCCTCCCTAAAGCAAGCGGGAGCAGTGCCTCAGAGAACACCTACAATCCAGAGAGGGTGGCAGCATCCTTAGGTGACCTCAGTCTCAGCCCCAACTTCTGGGCAGCCTGCCAGGATGGGAAAGGATGTTCCAAAGAACGTTCAGAGGAACTCACCCACTACATGCCCCTTTCATTCCCACAGAACACCAGGCCCAGAGTCTGTCTGACCTCTAAACCCCAGTTTACTGCAGGTCAACAGAAATCTTAACCTATAAGTCCTCTCCTGGTTTCAGTCTCACCTTCTTGGAGTTTTGATACAAAGAGGAACCAATATGCCAAATCTCATATTCTTGGGCTTGCTGTGTGACCATCCCTTAGGCTCTGCCCTCTCTGGTCTACTACTTCCCTGAGAATCCCTGAAACTGTCCCTTAAGGGCTATTACCTTACCTACACAAACTGAAAGAAGATCCATTTCTTTTTTTCTTAGTCTTCCCAGACCCTCCCCTCCAGCATCAATGAGGTTCAGGCGCTTTGGCTGAGGTTGGCACCCCATTTATTGGAGAAGACCCCAGCACCCACCCCTGAGGTCCTGGGGGCCTTGGTGTATCCTCTGTCATGAGTGCCACATCCAGGGAACAGGAAGCCCTCTGTCCATCTGGGCAGCCCCCATGGGTCCCTGGTGTAGCCTCAGCCATGTGTCCAGCCATGTCCCTTCCCCCTACTTGCAGGGGGCATCTATGCCCTATCACACGCTGGTTCTGCAGGTCTGTACCCCTGTGAAGCTGCCCCTGGGGGGCAAGGGTTCTGTTTGGCCTTTGCTCCCAGCATGGGTGACCCAGCGATAGCAGTCAGTGATGCGCTTGTTGGGTGCGTGGGGGCCACAGCGGGTGCAGTATACGATGCCTAGTGCGAGCAGGACCACCAGGAAGACACATGTTGGCACCAGGAGTGCCACCAGCAGCCACCGGTCATCCCTCTGGCTTTGACCTGCTATACCAGCCTCTGCCAGAGCTGTTGGAACTGCTGTAGAGACCAACTTGGAAGTAGGGCCACCTTCCCTTGGGACTTGGGGAGCTTTGGAATGGGGATGTGCAGGGCTGTGTGAAGTCTGGTTAGCTGGGCTTTGAGGAGGCAAAGGAGTAAGAAGGACTGGAATCTGGGTGGCAGCAGGCACAGGGGCCTGATGGGCAGGGGTCCCAGGTGACCCAGAGGTAGTGGGCAGGCTGGGCTGGACAGTTGGCGTAAAAGAAAGCCGAGGGACTTGGGCCCTGATGCCTGTGACATCTATGAGTGGAGGGGGTTGGTGGGCACTTGGGGTGACATCCGGGGAGGCAGGATTAGCTGGAATTCCAGACAGATGTGTGGTGGTCTGGGTGTCAGCCACCTGAGAGTCTGGAAACATGGGAGATGGATGGGTAGGGAAGAATTGGGGATATTTGGCTGAGGTAACAGGGGGCTGGTGGGCAGGGGGCTGTGCTGGAGGAGTGACAGAGATAACTTGGGGCTGGTGGGCAGAAGGCAGACGTGGATAGTTGTTGGAGATCACAGGGGGCTGGTGGTCAGGAAGCACAGCTGGGTGCATGGCAGGGATCATGGGGTGCCAATGGGCAGGGCTCAGGGGTAGGTGTGTGGCAGAAATAATAGGGGTCTGGTGGGCAGAAGACAGAGTAGGGTGCGTGGCAGAGATCACAGGGGGTCTGTGGGCAGGGCTCGGGGGTGGGTATGGGGGGGCCCGGCGAGCAGAAGGCAGTGTGGGGCGCAGGGCAGAGATCACAGGGGGTCGGTGGGCAGGGTTCAGGGGTGTGTGTGTGGCAGAAATAATAGGGCTCTGGTGGGCAGAAGACAGAGTGGGGCGCATGGCAGAGATAACAGGGGGTCTGTGGGCAGGGCTCGGGGGTGGGTATGGGGGGATATGGCGAGCAGAAGGCAGTGTGGGGCGCAAGGCAGAGATCACAGGGGGTCTGTGGGCAGGGTTCAGGGGTGGGTGTGTGGCAGAGATAATAGGGGTCTGGCGGGCAGAAAGCAGTGTGGGCCGCGTGGCAGAAATCACCACAGGCTGAGTGTCAGAGATCACTGAGGAGTGATAGGGGATCCGAGGGGCACTGAGTAGGGGTGGCCAGGTGGGCTCCAGATGGGGTCTCCTCGGTTCTCGCTGTCCTGGGAAGCTGGGTCTATAAGCCAAGCCAAAGTCCGGTGGCTGTGTGGGTTTCATCCACAGGATCCTAGCACCCGCTGTCCATCCACCATCCAAGTCCTCCCAGGCCTCCGCCACCTCCACTTCCACCTCCTCCTCCTCCTCTTCCTCCCGATCGTCCACCACCTCATCTCCAAGGTCCTGAGAAGCCCTGGTGCCCATGGCACCCGTGGGGGTGCAGTTGCTCCCATCTTCTTCAAGCTCATGACCCTCACTGCAATAGCACTCAAAGCCACCAACATAGTTGACACACATCTGCTGGCACACACCGGCAATCTGGCACTCATCTGTGTCCACGCAGCGGTGTGGCTCATCCTCTGCTGGTCGGAAGCCCAGAAGACAGTGGCAGCTGTACCCTTGTGGTCCACCAGGCTCACAGTGTTGCTCACATGGGGCCTGGGCACAAGGGTCCTCACAGCTGCGCCCATCCGCTGCCAGTCGGAAGCCCTCAGTGCAGTGGCAGGACACCTGACCATCCATGTCCTCCATGCACTCATGTTCGCAGCCCCCATTGTCCGGACCACAGCCAGTCCCCGGGCACAAGGGCCCAGCCTGGGACCAGCCCACACCACCTTCAGGTTGCTTCACGCAGAGCAGAGAGGCCCCCCTGCCAGCTTGGCACTGCACAGCAGCCACAGACCCAAAGGGCAGCCACTCAAACTCCGTAGAGACCAGGTGGAAGGGTGTAGTATAGACGGTGGGGCTGGCCTGCCCAGCCTCATCTTGCAATGCTGGGCAGGCACCCTCAAAGCCAAACTGGCACAGGTAACCGTCGATAGGCAGTGTGCACGAACCCTCGTGCCAGCGATGAGCATGGCTGGCCTCCAGGGCCACACAGCGCTGAGCCACACAGGACCCTCCCGTGGCTTGCTGGGCCCAGTTGGTGAAGGCTGTGTCCTGGTCTCCAGTAGTCCACGTGAAGCCACGAAGTGGGCGCTGCACCTGGCAGTGCCGTGCCTGCCGCTGCAGTCCTATCCACAGCAGCTTGTCCTTTGGGCCAGTGCCCACAAGGCTGTCCACACGCCGGGCCTCCTCGGGTGTCCGCGGTGTGGCCAGGTTACCCCCCAGTTCACGGCAGGCACGCCATGCTTCCAGGAAGGTGCGGGATTCTGGGTAGAGAACGTAGCAGCTGTTGGGGCCACAGGTAGCGTGGGGCTCAGTGGGCCAAGAGGCCTGGCCCAGTGTGGGCACTGCGGCCGCCCAGGCCAGCAGCAGGCACAGCAGCATCACGACGCCCCCTGACTGGTGACTGGTCTGGCCCGGGCTTGCGGCTGCTCTTGACAGGGGGAGGGACGGGGGCCTCCGGCAGGCGGGCAGGGGGGCGGGCCTAGGCTGGGCTCTGGCCTTGTAAGGAGTGGGCTGGGGTGGTTGCCAGCTCCTGCTCCTGCTCCCCCAGGGCCACAGGAGCAGGAAGCAGTGGGGTGGGGGGTGCTGGGGTTGGCTGAGGAGGGAGGAGGAAGAGTACAGGGGCTGCCCCAGGCCCCACAGGGCTGGGAGTCAGAGAGGCGGAAACTGCTGCTTGCTGATACAGGACCCTCAGAAGCCCACTGCACTGCAGTAGGAGGCTCCGTTCCTCAGTCGAACTCGCCTTCCACACACTCACAGACACACTTACATGTGCGTGCTCCTCTCCTCATCCGTGGGCACGGGCAAATGCATGACTGCCCCTTGTGCCTGGCTCAGACCTGCCCTTCACTTCACCTGGCTCAGGCAAGTCTGCAGACCCCTGTCCCCTGTGCACATCTGCCTGACACATTGCACCCCAGGGGTGCTCCTTCCAAGATGGTGTGGTGGTCTACATGGCTGAGCTTATGAAGTCCCTCACGTTCCTGTACAGGCCCTGAGTGGCCAATGACCAAGGCCTGAACACCCCCACTCCCCTACCCCCACTGTGTTCTCTGTTCCTGAGTCCCTTCCTCAGTCACCCTATTCCCCAGAGTTATGGCTCCAGCTGGGCCAGCCTGAGGGGGAGGAAGGCTGCCTTTTCTTCACCCTTGCTCAGCTGGGGACCCTGGGAACCTGCGATTAGAGGGGGAGGAGAGCCCCCAAACAGGAAATGCCTCTCTGGGCTCCTGCTGCAGGAGGGCAGAGTGTGTAAATTAGGGGGCTGGACTGCTCTCAGGGGGCAGAGCTGGCTGTGAGGGGCCTAGTGAAAGGCCATGTATGGGCACTAGACGCACAGTAACACATTCACACGTGTGTGACAGGGCCTTCATGTTATGGAGCCCTCCTTGCCCCAGGGGGCTGGTACATAGGCCCCAAAGACCTCTTTCTGCCCTCCTCCCAGGCCTCTGAAGGCAGCCACAGTGAGCCTGTCACCTAGGACAGGAGGCGGTCCTGAGGAGGTGGTTGAAGGTTAACTTGTTCTCAGCTGTATCACTTTTCTTTTCTTTTCTTGCCTGATTGATTGATTGATTGATTGACTGAAGCAGGTTTTTGCTATTTTACCCAGGCTGGTCAATCACTTGCCCTGCCTCAGCCTTCCAAGATGCTGGAACCATAGTCCTGTGACACTAGCTGACCCAGTATATTCTTAGTAGATGTTTGAGCCAGGGATGAGGAGGTAGAGGAGTGCTTCTACCCCTCAGAGCGCTGCCTGGGTACAGCTTTTTACTCTGCCTCTGATCTGCTGTGTGACTTCAGGAAGGTCACGGACCCTCTCTAAGCCTCCATTTTTCTTATGTGCAACATGGGGATACTGTGTCCAGGTCTTTTAGCTCAGTGGGGCTAACACATCACAGTACAGAGGGCTTTGTCAACTGTGGAACATGAGGCAAATGTTCCTTAGTCTTTTGAGTACAAGCGCTGGGGGCAGGTTGGACTTTACTAACCACCTTTCAATACTCAGCTAGTCCCTACACACCCAGCCAGCGTCTAAGAACCAGGGATTACAAAATGCCTGCTCTGTGCCCAGAAGTTCAAGGTCTATACCTGTGAAGCACATGGACTACTCTCCTAGGGAGAAAGTCAATAGCCACCTTCTATCCTTGAGTTCACCCTTGACTCCTCTTTCTCCCACACCCCAACCCCAGCCTCTCAGCAAGTCCTCTCAGCTTCATTCTTAGAATCAACTCACGGGCCTGGTGAGATGGCTCAGTGGTCTAAAGCACCTACTTGGAACAAGCTTGGCAAAGCACAGGGACCATGGTTCGATCCCCCAGCACCACATGCCAGCCAGCCCCGCCCCCTGGTGGGCTGAGCTGGCCACACACACACACACACACACACACACACACAATAAATAAATAAATAAATAAATAAATGTTTAAAAAAAAAAGAATCAACTCACATCTGACCACTTCTCATTACCTTCTTTGCCACCCACCCTTTGCCCATCTAGAAACCATATATAGCCTCTCTCTCTCTTTCCCTCTCGCTCTCTCTCTCTCACTTTCTCCACCCTGAGAGAGAGATGCTTGCTCTTTTTTAAAAAAATATTTTATTTGAGGCTGGGGAGATGGCTCAGTAGAATAAGTACTTCCCCAGCAAGTCCAAGGGTCTGAGATCAATGCCTGGTTCCGCCAAAAAATTATTTTATTTTATTTATTTAGTCTTTTTGAGACAGGCTCTCTTTTCTATGCAGTACTGGCTGGCTTTGAGCTCAACTTGTAGCCCAGGTTGGCCTCAAACCCTTAAACTCAAACTTGTAATGACCCTCCTGCCTCCACCTCCCAGAATGCCACAATTACAGGCATGAGCCACCACTCCAGGCAGAGAGATGCTCCTACAACCTAGGTCAGTTCAGGGAAAAGGTCAAAGTCTTTGCTATGTGATCTGGCTCTAAACTAATCCCACACTGTCCCTCCACTCACTCCCTCTACTCCAACCACTCTGGCCTCCTTGCTGATCCCCAGCCTGTGGGGCACCCGCCTCCAGACTTTCCCTGGCAGCGCCCCTGCCTGGAGTGCACTTCCTGCAACCTCCAAGTGCTTTACTTCTTCTTTTGCTTTTCTCCAATTGGTCTCAGTTAAGTGTCAGAATCCCCAACCAATCATGCTCCATTTCCCCTTTCCACTATGACTCTGACACAGTGTAAACAGATGTGTGTGTTGTTTCCGTGAGGCCTGAATCCTCCTGGCCAGTTTCTCAGCCTTGATCTTCAGTGCTGGACAGTGTTGTAAGGCCTGTGCTGTACCTGGGGGTGATTACCCATACCTCCGACTTCTGTTTACATACTGGTAGTTGCTTGGGACAATGTTCTCAGACATTGCTGAATAGCACCATCACCCCCAGGGAGAACCTCTGCCCTTGGAGACTGTGAGCTCCGTGCTAGGGTCATAGTCCTGTTCCCTACTGTATCCACAGATTCTAGACAGCTCTTGGACCATGGACACTGCTTATTAAAAGTTTGCTGAGGGCTGGGGAGATGACTCAGTAGAATAAGCGCTTCCCTGGCAAGCACAAGGGCCTGAGTTCAATCCCTGGTTCTGCAAAAAAAAAAAAAAAAAAAGTTTGTTAAATGACTAAATGAGGCTTCCACAACTGCTTAAGGAGATGCAGGGAGACCTGGGGTTCTCCTTGAAATAAAGCCCACTTGTTCCCCATATTCTTTGGCCACCCCCTTGAAGTCAGCCCTCCTAGACCTGGTAGTTCTCTCAAAATCAGCAAGTCATTTTGCAGTTGGGGACACTGAGGCTCAGTGAGTCATACAGCATACAGTGGCAGGGCTCAGACTAGAGCCAAGGTTTCCTGGTTCTTATTCCAGTTCCCTTTGTGCTATAGTCTGCTGCAGCATCCTTCAAGCTGGGTATGAGATGTGATGTCAAGAAATGACAATGAGAAGAAAGAGATGCAGCTTGGGGCCCGGCAGATAGCTCAGTAGAATAAGCACTTGCCTGGCAAGCGCAAGGGTCTGATGCAAGGGCCTGAGTTCAATCCCCAGTTCCGCCAAAAAAAAAGAAGAAAGAGATGCAGCTTATCAAGGTCCTAAGGTCGGAGCTCAAGATGAGGTGGGCCTAGAAGGACGAAGAGGACAGGAGAGAGAACACCAAAGGGGAGGCAGCGTGCTTTGCAAGACCCCAAAGCCAACCCTGAAAGCTGCAGCTCCACTGTGGTGGTGTTGGGGAAGAGTGACAGTGAGAGAGCTCCCAGGCTGGTTTTCAGTGGGTGGAGGGGACCCAAGGCCAGGGACCCATTAGGAGGCTGTTGTAATTGTCTGGGAAAGAGGAGGGAGCTGGCTGCAGAGCTGGGGAGCAGGGCGGGCCGGGCTGGGGGAGGCAGCCTCTTGAGGCTCCTTATGGGCGGTCCTGAACCTGGTCCAAGGGTGTGGTGAGCCCAGTCATGATTCGGGCAATGGCCAGTGCGGGGGGTGGGGTGGGGGGGTGGGGGGGGTGTCTTAGAGCATGGCTGCAGGCCGTCTGGTGAGTGGGCGGGCTGGATCAGAGGGCAGGACCCCAGCTTCAGTGGTGGTGAGGGTTTGGGGAGCAGGCAAGGGAAGAAGGAAGAGGATGAGGGTCAAAGGCTAGATTCCAGCTGTACTAGCTGGGTCCCCTTTGTAGATGGGGGGATGTCTGAGTGGGATACTTTGAGGGGGCTTGAGGAGTCATTTTGCCCCCAACAAGACCACGTGGATCAAGGGTGAGTGTTGGAGGTGCACATGAGCACCCAGTCTGGAATCATACCTGGTGCTCATCTGCCTGCTCCCCTTAGGGGTGAGGCTGTCTCAGAACTTTCTGCCCTGGTTGGGATGATGGAGGACACAGTGACACAGTGAGAACAACCTCAGGGATCTGGTTATGAGGAGTGAAAAGGGGGCTGATTGGGATCTTCCTTTCCCAGCTGGTCTGGTTGAGTTAGTCATAGCACAAAGAAATGCTAATTGATGCAATAAATGTTTGGAGGATGGGTGAATGGATACATACTTTTTTTTTCTTTTTCTTTTCTTTTCTTTTTCTTTCTTTCTTTCTTTTCTTTTTTTTTCTTTTTTTCTTTTCTTTTCTTTTTTTTTTTCTTTTGTCTTTTTGAGACTCTTCAGTTCAGGCTTACCTTGAACTCACTTTGTAGCCCAGGCTGGCCTCAAACTCACAGAGATCCTCCTGCTTCAGCCTCCAGAGTGCTGGGATTGTAGGTATGCACCACCATGCCTAGGTTTTTCTCTGTTTTTTTTTTGCTTGTTTGTTTTTGGTGGAACCAGGGATTGAACTCAGGCCCTTGTGCTTGCCAAGCAAGCGCTTATTCTACTGAGCTATCTCCCCAGCCCCTGTTTTTGTTTTTTTAAGATAGGATCTT